GAGAGCCAGGAAGAAGTTGGGGAAGAGGAGGGTGGGGGCAAGGAAAGGTGAAAAAAATCAGGAAGGAGAGGGCAGAAGGAGATGAGGGGAGGAGGGGGAAATAGGTTAGGAACCAGGGGATGAAAGGTCAGGAAGATAAATTGACATTTATTTAGCGTTTATTGTACGTCGGGTAGTGTGCCTTCACAAAATTTCCTTCATTAACTCTCACGAAGACTCTGAAAATTGGATGTATTTTATTCTTCAAGTTTTAGATGAAGAAATTGAGGCTCAGATGTCTTGAATAACTGTCCAGATCACAGAGCAAGAAAACATGGTTGGAGGCAAACACTCCTTTGTGTTCTTCCAAAACTCCTGCTCCTTTCTCAGCTTAATATTTATTTGGACCATTTGCCTTTGTATAAAGTGAAATAAATAGGCAAAGGAAAGCCTTTTGGAAGAGGCTTTAATAAGGCCTGTGCCTGCATATGTACCCAAGTTCTATTTTCAGTGATGATGGTGTCTAAGAGAAGACTACATTTGAAGCACTATATACTTAGAAAAGAAGACATAAAAGCAACGTCTTAAAAAGATGACCTTAGAAAATGAGCTATATATGCCATGAGAATAAGTAGCTTTAGCAAGAACTATTTGGGGCAGGCTGTTTTCATTGTTATGAATAAAATCACAATCTTAACATTAGCAATTCCATTTCACATAGGGGACATCCACAGCAACTGTCATCTACTGACCAAATAGTTATCTTGCTTCACATACAAATATGATTCCTATCAGATAACTGACCCGTTTTTGAAACTTCAGAAGGTATTTTCACTTTTCTTTTTTCTTCTAGAAAATCTAAATGAAACAAGAAAACAAAGATCTACAACAAAACAAGAGGTATAAGTGGTGCAAGACACACAGTAGACAATCATTTTTCATTGAAGTAATTGATGCATGTTCAAAGCTCTCTTGGAGAAAAGATATCAGTTACTTTGATTAAAAAAAGTCATTGATGTATTTGGAACTGTACAGAAAGAAACTTGTCGGTTTTAATTGGTTTGATTCTAGATGGTCCATCTTCTCACAGAACTAGCTCATTGTAAAAGGAATGGTTGTACTTCTTAGGACAATGTTTTCAGAATTTATTTCTTGGAACATACATATTAGAATCACTTGGGGACTTAGCTCATGTCCGAGGAGTTGGAGCCCTGAAATCTCTCTTTTAATAAGATCCTCCAGAAATACATTATTTGAACTAAAGTTGGAGGACTACTGATTTAGGAGTTAATCAACTTTCTTTATTATACAATTACAGACTCTGGGCTGTCCTTAATAGAATTTCAATAGTTGTCTACTTACATACAGATTAGCTAGGACTCAGACTTGTACTTCTATAGATTCTAGACCAATACTTCTCAGCCTTTAGATTTGAGTCACGCAGGAAGTTTACTAAATGGTAGAGTTTCAGGACCCATCCAAAGCAGCTGGCTTGAAGCTAGATTTTCTGCATTTCAAATATATACTCCCTGTGGTTGTGATGTAGGCATTCTGCTGACTTCACATCCAATGCACAGACCTTCTGGAAAAACTGTTCCTATCAAATATTCATGCAGCCTCTGAGAGGACACTTTATTGGGGATAAACAATAAACTCCATTTGTAAGTAGCCGGAATTATCAGAAATTTCTTCTTATATTGAATTAATATGAAGTTTTGCTTAATCTCTCTGGTTTTAATTAGAATTGCATAGAAGATATTTATTCTCAACATAATAATAAAAAAAGAAAACTACCTTGACCAAGAAAGTAACTGCTTTTGTTGCCTCTGGGTTCCTGGGATGTTCCTTCAGCAGAGGGTGAGTAGGTGAAGAAAATGGAGGGGCTCAAAAATGCATCCCTGATAAGAAAACAAGGGCCTTTGCTATTTATGCAGCTACAATGCTTGGACAATGAAACATCTAGGAAAACTTGAAATTCTCACTTTCTAGAATATTATTAGCACATACTTAAACAAAATAGAACTAAACTGTATCATCCTGAGTTGCCCTGGATATGGGAGAGTCCTATTTATCAGAGTAGATGGGGGAAATTGTCGATAAGGAATAAAATGGGACTGATTTGGATGAGGCAGAGGTCCTCATGGAAGAAATGCATGGGAGCCCTCTCTCCTCCCAGGTGCTTACTCACTTTTGTCCAGCTGCAGCTCCATGCAGGTCAGGGAGCTGGCTCTCATGCCTGCTAAAGTCAGATGTTGAGTAAATACAGAGAAGGTGATTGGATGGAAAATATGGGCTTGTTTCCAGCCAATTCACGGGAACATCCCCAAATCCCAAGAACTTAGCTAATTAATCCTATTTGTTTACTTGCATTGTAAAAATAACTCAAATATTTTATTCACTGATTTTGAAAAAAGTTGTAGTTGACCCTTGAACAACATGGGTTTGAACTGCATGATCCACTCATATGCGGATTTTCTTCAGCTTCTGCCACCCCTGAGACAGCAAGACTCCTCCTCTTCCTCCTTCAGCCTATTCAATGTGAAGACTATGACAATGAACACCTTTATGATGATCCACTTCCAGTTAATGAAGAGTAAACATATTTGCTCTTCATGATTTTCTTAATACAATTTTCTTTTCTCTAGCTTTTTTATTGTGAGAATATAGTGTATAATACATATAATATACAAAATGTATGTAAATCAACTGTTTATGTTATCAGTAAGGCTTCCAGTCAACAATAGGCTATTAAAGTTAAATTTTTGGAGAGTCAAAAGTTATATATGAATTTTTAACTGTGTGTGGGGTCAGCCCCCTTGCCCCTCATTGTTCAGTGGTCAATTGTAATTATTAGTAAAGTTTCAAAGATCAACAAGCATGCATGTGAACATGAAGAGAGAGGTACTTAGAGCAGCCATGAGTCTATCAATCATTTAAAATAATGTGACTGGGCAAGTTAAAAAAAAATCTGTGCCTCAATTATTCACTTGTAAAATAAGGATAATAATAACAAATAAGTAACTGTTAGCAGTGTTTGATTAATACACAAGGAAGTATAATGTGTATTAATTCCTAAAAACTGACTGGTACAAAGTCAGTACTCAAGAAACAGAATGCCAGTTATTCTTGTTAGCATTAGTAATAGCAGTGTAGTTTGCCGGAAGGACACCTGTGAGCCAACACCAGTTAACTCTTTTTGAACTGCACTTAAAATGATTACACAGGTCAAGAAGAGCAGAAGGGAGAATGTAAATGAATACATGAAATCTAGAATGCTGCCTTTGTCTCACTTTTCGCCTTAACTTAGGGAAAGACTGAATTTTGGAGAGGAGGAAAGTAGAAGGCATTGAGTCCTGAGTGACCTGCCTTATAAACATGTCCTGTGTTCATTTTTCTTAGAAAAGATATCTTTTCTCTCTGCTGTTCTATCCAGTTTTAAGGTGCAAGATTCACACAACATCAGAAGTCTTGGTGTGTTTAGATACTTTTAATGATACAATTCTCAGATTGTTTATTCTTTGTGGTGGAAAATAGAGAACTCCAGAATGTGAACCCAATATGTCTTCCCAAAATGTCCAAGACAATTACACCATAACTGTTCTAAAACATAACATAAAACTTAAGTGAAGGTGCTTAAATCATTGCCAATCCCAGCATCTGAATTTGCCTGTTAGTGAGAGATGTAGGGAACATTACGGATTCTAGACTGTGTTAGCATTCCTGACTGTGTAATCTCTGGGGCTTCCCCTGAGATTTATGAAAAATAGGAATGAAAACAACTGCACTGCATAGCGTTGTGGAGCCTTAAAGAAAAAAGGTAAAGTGCTGACCCACTGCAAGCTGGTATTACTCCCACAAGTTACAGCTCAGAAGTCTTGGCTCCATTTGGGGATTTCCACTGGTCTACTACCTCTTGTAAAAGAAAAGCACTGGGAAAGGACACACCCAGGTTTTCTCCCTCACTTTGAGTCCAAAATTGCCCTATGTCCACAGACCCATTTTGAATTCTTGAGCCACAAAATATGATGCCTAGAGGACAGACATTTCTGCTGGCACAACGACCTTGAATCAGGTCATTGACATGAGTCGGCAGAGCCTAGATGGAGCCTGTCTACCCCATGCCAAAGCTCATGTAGTTGACACTCAGTCCATGTTTTTATTTCATCAACAAAATATGACTTCACTTTTCTTTTATAATCCAGAAGCATGAGAATACATTTGTTGCAAACTACATGCAGAGAAAATGGGGGATTCCTTTGGAAACTACATCCTCTTAGTAATAAATAATTTTTGATCTACTATACACAACAGTAGTGCATTTCTTGTTAAAACAGCAAGCTTTTTTTTTTTTTTACCAAAATGAAAAGAAAACATTCATTTCTTTATAAATATTTAAATAGTTTAAATACATATTTCATACCAAGGATATAAAAATAGCCTCTGTGTTTTTTTGATAAATAAAGACGTTTTCATTTACATGGCAAATAACGTGCGAATAGCTAACAATTGGCCACCAGTTCTATTTGACTGATTGTCTAGGAGATGACATGCAGTGATAATTGTCCCTTTGCCTTCACAAAAAGAAAAATAGATCAGCAGGAGCTGTACACTCCTGAGGCCAACAGTGCTATGGATATTGTTCAGGAATGACAATCAGGCACTCATGAAAAACCTTTGCCACACTTCACAAAAGCCACCTGGGACAAAAGTCATCCACAAATTCTTTGTCTAGGACTTCTAGCTGCTCAGACCCTCAGGGTCTTTGGATTGTTACCAATGTCTGTCAAACAGACCAGTAGTTTAATACCTGTACAGAAAAATGTGTCTATTATGCTTCTAGCATCTAGAAATTGTTTGCTACAGCATGGAGGTGGTTCTGCCTTTCCCTGACTCCTCACACTCTTTTCTGCAGGATTCCCAGCTTTGCTCAGTCTTCCTACCCACCAGAGGCAAAAAAGGCAAACTAAAACTGTCATGCAGTGGTAGGTTTGAAATTAGCAGCTGCTTCATGGGCACTAATATCATACATTTATGGCTTTGTTATCTTTCACTTCTGCTGTGCTTGTGACAACTTCCAGTGGAAAGTTCTCCAAAGGTTTTGTAGACGCTGATGCCATTCCTTCCTGGTTCCAAGATCCTGGTAAGTTTTCCAGACTGAAGGAACTCACAGTTCCCTGACTGAAGCTGCCCTCCTCTGATCTGCTTGGGAGAACTAGGTGCAAAGATGTCTCCGAAGAGGAGCAGACAGAGGATGAGAGAGTTGCTGAAATGGACTGCAGAGGTGTCAGCGTAGAATCTGAATGTGGAGAGATGCACCTTAAAAATTGCAAATGACCTTCTTGGACAACCTGGTAGTGGGAAGGTGAATAATCAAGGCTTGGAGAATGATAAAGTTCACTGTCTGCAGGATTTTGCTCATGAGCTCCAGTTCGTTGGGGGCTGCTCCCCACAGAGGAGGGATCCACACTCCAAATGTCTGAGGTGATATTACTGCTACAAAGTTGTGCTTGCGTATAGGCAGCCCCGCCTGTTTGCAAGTGTAGGCAAGGCTGGTGCACACTCCAGCTCATTCTGGTCTGTAAGCTCTCCCTGGAGGGACACACAGAGGTGCTGTGCAGAGAGCAAAACCGTGATGGCTGCTGAGGTGACAGAACGTTTTCCAGAAGCTGGATCACATTTCTCATGTCTTTACCCAACTGAGAAACTTCCTGAGTCAATGTTGTTACCTATGTGGATAAAGCAAAGTGAAAGGCAATAGTTAGAGGTGCAAAGTAGTGACCAAATTTCAGAGAAATGAAGCAGGGAAGTGATATTTCTTTCGGTTTTCTTTTATTCCTCCTTATTTATTTTTAAACATTTTAGCATTTGCTTGGTGAAAAAGAAATTTCTTTTTTTTTTATTTTTCTTTTTTGAGACGGAGTCTCGCACTGTCGCCCAGGCTGGAGTGCAGTGGCGCGATCTCGGCTCACTGCAACCTCTGCCTCCCAGGTTCACGCCATTCCCCTGCCTTGGCCTCCCGAGTAGCTGGGACTATAGGCACCTGCCACAATGCCTGGCTAATTTTTTGTATTTTTAGTAGAGACGGGGTTTCACCATGTTAGCCAGGATGCTCTCGATCTCCTAACCTTGTGATCCGCCCACCTCGGACTCCCAAAGTGCTGGGATTACAGGTGTGAGCCATGAAAAAGAAATTTCTTAATAAGAAAGCCTGAAAAGCTGCTCCAACTCCAACCAAGCCCAAGGGGTGACTGGGTAGGTTAGGCATCTGAATGAACATACATCCTGATCTAAAGACGTCCTCATTCTGAAAGATCCTAGAGGGGCATAAGTAGTCTGGGGATCTTAAGTAATGATTTGGGATTCTTAAACAGAATGAGAGATATGGATCCATCACCTCTTAAGTACTGATGATATCTCTGCTCACTCTGGGTGAATGGGATGCACGATAGTGCACAAAAATCATCGGACGCTTCAAAACAATGTGGAGTGGAGAAATTGCATGTAAAGCACTCAGCACACTAAGCACTACTACCTATTTGGAGTAGACACCTGGTGAATGGTAGGTCTCACTCTTGCCATTTCTGGTTGAAGCCTATGCTTATTATAGGCCAGAGACAAAGTGGCCTTCAGTGATGGTGAGGTTGCTACAGAAGAATTCATACCAGATTTGCTACAGAGAAAGTTTGCAGAAAAAGGGAAAGCTATGGAATGAGAGTTGGAAAGAAATAAAAAGACCTGCAATGCGGATAAGTAGAGATAAGCACTGCAGAGTGTCTGAGAGTCCTGGAACCCATCAGTGAACCTGAAACCCCATGGAATTATAGAACAACAAATTGTGTTGTATGTACTTCATTCTGTTTTCTAGGTGAGACATTTAGCTTTCACAGCCCCCAAACACTTAAGAATCGTTGAAGAGTCTTCGTTTTACACTTAAAACGCATAATAAAATTCTTCAGATAATTTATTTTCCTAATGACCACATCAGTATTTGAATCATGGAAGAACACCAGAAAATTGAATTTCACTTAAAGTTGGCTTTTCTAAAAGATATGTATTCTTCAAATTGAGGAAAACATATTTCAGAAAGCAGGACACACACATATATTTTCTAGTCTTTGGTTATATTCATATAACTAACATAATGTAATACTTTGCCTTCATTGCTACAATACTTTGTATTTTATAAAGGACTTTCTATGACTTTATTGTACTGTCATGAACCACAAAACGCTAATAGAAGCAAATGAACCTATGGGCTAAATATAATCAGGAAACAAAAAGAGGTAGTTCAACTTCATTGAACTGAAGATTCATTCAAGACTGCTGTTTTGGGCAGACATTCTTCAACATCTAAGTACATATTCCTAATTCATCCAGCAACTTAATTCAGTCTACTTACTGTGAGTGCATTCTGAAACTAATTCTCCCTGGCAGGTCCATCAGGAGGTAACACTGCTCAAAGTCAGGCATTTTAAAAAAGGCCAGAAGGAGGTTCTTCCATGGTTCGGGCAACCAACTGGTAACACCTGTCTTGAAATTGCCAGGCCAAAACTATTTCTGCCCTTCCGCTGGCCTGAAACTCAAGGGATTCAACTGAATACTTGTCTAGGCTTTTCAGCAAATCTAAAACTTCTGAAGACAACAACATCTCTCAGTCCCACATTTGAGAAGTGAAACAATGAATATGAGAAAAATTCAATATGCTTTGAAATCTTTACTACAGGTTGTCAATTTCATGACCTGCCAAACTTCAATTCTAAAGCACATGAATCACATTTAAATCATTACCCCAGGATCTTTGCACTACCTACATTCACAAGGGTTCCATCTTAAATTGATTAACTCTTATAATTTCAGAAGACAAGGCTGCCACTAAATGAGCTGGTTAAAGAGGCACATTAGCCATCCATTCATATAGGCTGTCCAAGCTAAATTCCTGTGTGAAGCTCACCAGGGCTACATTAGTTCACTTCCCAATAAAAATGCTTTGAATTGACCTTCTATTGAGAATTAAATAAAGGCACAGTCTCTGAAGAACAATTTTGAATTTTAGGCACATCAACTTATGTTATTCAACAAATGTTTGTATGTTTGTAAATTTATACAATGTGCTTTCAGGTACATTTTCCCTATTGGATCTACAAACAGTGCTAAGACAGGCAGGGATGTATTATTATTTTTCAACTTGTAAAATGGGAGCAATAAGACTTAGAGGTGAAAGGACATTTTTAAGGTCACTTATTTCATGAATGACAGTCTTCAGTCTAGAATTTAGGACTTCTAAGTTTGGTATTCATTCTGTTATAGAATGTTATCATGTGGAAAAAGAAATATTGCTTAAGAAAGGGTTGAGAGATTTTTCCTAATGTGGTCAGAACATGTAAAGAGCACAATGACACAGAAAGGTAGCCTCATGAGTAAAAAGCTGTGTGAAATGTTAATTCAACATTAAGTAAATAGCGTCATCTCTAAAAAAATAGGATACTGATTAAACACAGTAAAATATCTTCATAGCAAACTATATGAATGCAAAAATAGTTTCCTCAGGGTAAGAACTGGAAACAGATATGTTAATAGACATATTTCTGATGAAATATTTTTCTAGTTTTCAAAATAAACAGATATTTTTCCATGATTGAAATACCTTTGCATAGACACATTCTTTTTTTTTTACAGATATATAATCATCATATATATTTATAGGATGCATGTGATATTTTATATATGAATACTGTGTGCAATGATCAACTCAGGATAATTAGTATAACCACTATCTCAAACATTTATCATTTATTAGTGTTGGGAATATTTCAAATATTTTCTTCTAGATATTTTGAAATATACAATAAATTATTGTTAATTATAGTCACCCTACTATGCTGTCAAACAATGGCACTTACTCCTTTTATTTAACTGTACTTCTGTGCCCATTAACTAACCTCTCTTCATCCTCACCTCTCCCTTCCCAGCCTCTGGTAATCATCATTCTACTCTCTACCTCTGTGAGATATATTTTTCTAGCTCCCACAAACGAGTGAGGACATGCAGTATTTGTCTTTCTGTGCCTGGCTTACCATGCATTTGCACAACTTTGAGGCCATGAACTTTGAATGGGAATCCAGAGTCTTGACACGATCCAGGAACATAAACAAGCACTAACATTTTCAGAAAACAAATTACTATCCTAGCTTGAACTAAAAGGAGCAAGGAACTCAAGGAAACAGATTTCTTTAACTCTAGAGGGAAATAATCAATTTATGTTAGGGAAGATTCCTGTCACTGTGTCTCTGGGGATACACCCTTGAACCTTATTAAAGTTGCATGAGGGAATTAATTGTGTTAAGTAAAGGATCTCTCTTTTTACCATGACAAAGCCAGCTGTCACAAGGAGAGATGGCATTTCCTAGAAGTAGAGACTGTGGTGACAGTAAAGGTGACAACATACTGCCACAGAAAATGCCATAAAGGTTTACTGCATTTTTGTTTACTGCTTCCTGCTGTGCTCGCTATCAAAATTTATTCTAAAACAGGAAAGATCTCAGTCTTGATCAAATGTTGAAGGCAAAGAATGCAGTGTTGCTACTATCTGAGGGTGGTGGTGCAAGTGCTTCTCTATAGCATGGTAAGAAGACACTCATTTGCTAAAAAAGGATTGTTGGGGCTACTTTGTGAACAAAACCCTATCCACTTAAGAAGACATGTATACATATGTAACAAACCTGCACGTTGTGCACATGTACCCTAGAACTTAAAGTATAATTAATAAAAAAAGGATATGTCTTCAAAATACAACTTAATTGCAAAGAGATATGTCAATTAAAACAAACAAAATTCTTCTGATCAAATGAGCCTAAGTTTTCCCACTTACCTCAACAGCAGCATAAAATACTTAAATGTTTCTGACGCTCATATTAGAAAATGCAATCTTTCTGAGCAGGTAATACAAAGCCCTTCACAAGCCCCACTTAGTTTTTAACGACTCCATGTCCTGCGTTTTCTCCCTTGCACACCATCAGATACAGTGAGCTTTTCCCTTCACTGCCCTGGTGGGTGCTGTTCCTTCTGACTGTGGGCTCTTCTCCTCTGCCCTTCTCTGTCTGGCAAGAAAATCTTCTCCTTCAAACTTCTTTTAATACTTAATTTCCTCAGCAGAGCATTTCCTTGACTTACTGACACTCACATAGCAGTTTTAGCCCTGACCAATTTGCATCACACAAGACTGTACCAACTAGTCTTTGAGTTCCTTGAGGGTAAAACTGTTATCTCAGTATCTCCTGGTCTCAAGGCAATGCCTAGAACACAACATGCACTCAGCAAATCTTGAATGTAAAATAAATACAACACCTCCATTTTGAAGGACTTTTGATTGTTATATTGCCTTTGATTCTGATATTATTTTATCTCATGATTTTACCATAAATATTTTAGGGGAAAGTTGCCTGATACAAAATTGTATTGGAAAAACTGTAACTGGCCATCTTCATTCCAAGTATATATACTAAAAGTGGGTATGACTGTTAGAATTCATATATATAACTTTCCTAAAGCAAAGCCTTGACTATCATTTTAAGTGCAGGTGGTATTTCTACTGTTAAGAATCCCTTTTCCCTTATTGTGTTTCCTTCCTAATTGTAGAAATATGTCTCCATTAGCCAAGGCTTCTGCTGGATTTCACTTGTCTTATTGCTTTGTCATCTGTCCCAGCATAAACTTGATTTCCATGGGT